GTATTATGAGAATTAACAGTAAAACTTGTTCTCAAACAGTACTTTATACTTGTGTGTCTGTGTGGGTATAAACTGTTGAAACCTTTACTTAGTATAGAGTTGATCTTCTGTATATAAAGATAATTAAAAAATGAATCTTAGTGAAGAACGGGATGGGAAAGGGAGTAGGAGGTGCGAGTAGGAGTAGGGGTGGGAGGGTGGGTATGGGGGAAAGAACTGCTATATTCCTAAAGCTGTACCTATGAAATTGGTATTTATTAAATAAAAGCTTTATAAAAAACAAATTAGCACATGGCTAGTGGCTTAAAACAAATGTGTTGACAATTATATGCTAAAAAAAAATCCAGCACAGGTCTCACCCGGCTAAAATCAAGGTGTTGACAGGACTGCATTTCCTTCTGAAGGCTCTAGCAGAGAACTGATTTCCTTGCCTTGCATCTTCTTTCCTCTGTCCTCAAAATCGGAAATGTTTCATCTCTTTGATCCTTCTTCTATCCTCATGTTTCCCTCAGAACACACCTGGGGAGGCTGGGATTGGGGGACAGCAGATCAGATCAAGATGCTGCTAACAACATCCCCTATTAGAGCACTGGCTTGAATCTTCACTGCTCTGCTTCCAGTCCAGCTTCCTGCTAATGCACCTGGCAAGGCAGCAGGAAATGGCACCGTCGTTTGGGCCCTGGACACCCAGGTGGCAGACCCAGTTAGTTCTGGGCTCCTGGCTTAGCGTGAACCATCACTGGCCCTTGAGGCCATTTAGGGAGTAGACCAGCAAATGGAAGATTACTTTCTCTCCATCTCTCCCTCTCTCTGTCTCTGTCACTATGCCTTTCAAATTAAAAAAATAAGTCTTTGGGGGCCAGCGCTGTGGCACAGCAGGTTAAGCTACCATCTGCAGTGCCAGCAACCCATATGAAGCTGCTGGTTCGAGTCCTGGCTGCTCTGCTTCTGATCCAGCTCCCTGCTAATGGCCTAAGAAAGCAGAGGAGGATGGCCCAAGTGCTTGGGCCTCTGCCACCCACATGGGAGACATGGAAGAGGCTTCGGCTGGGCCCAGCTGTGGCCATTGCAGCCATCTGGGGAGTGAAACAGTGGAAGGAAGATTTCTCTCTCTGTCTCTCCTCTGTCTCTCTGTAATTCTGACTTTCAAACAAATAAATAAATCTTTAAAAGATAATAATAAATAAATCTTTAAAAAATAATGCAGCTGAGAAAGCGTAACTTTTAAGGACTTGTGTGAGTAGACTGGCCCCCCTGGGCCTGTATGTCAAGGCCTGCTGATTAGCAGCCTCACCAGCACCTGCAACCTCAATTCTATACACCATCTCATTAAACATGCCCAGGTTGTAGGGTTAGGACTTGGACAACCTCAGGGGACCACTATTCTGCCCACCACTGCAATATTCCACTAGAGGGCACTACCATATTCCTTAATGGAAACATCAAATTTCAGATAATCATATGAGAAAAAATTTGATAAAGTCAAATACTATATTATCAATAAAAGACTCAGTGTATAAACATCTCTCATTAGAATCTTTAAAAGATTAATCATATCATATAGGAAAATATATATGCAATGTAGTGAGTTCCTTAGAATTGAAGGGTCCTGAGCCACTGAGATTGATGAAATTTGTAGTGTATACTGGCCTCAAAATCCCATAGAAAATAAGACTGCCATATATTTAAAGGAATAGAGCACATGTTATCCTGCAGGGGTTTTTAATGAATGGTTCCTCAGCTGTGTGGATACAGGCATCATTATTTTTGTCCTGATACGTTTGCCCAGGATGTGGCTAAGAGATGTAGAAATTTTACTAAGTTGTGCCAGAAAGGAGGACGACAACAGGTGCCAAAAAGTGTGGGAAAGAGGCAGGGATGGGACAGCATAAAACGAATTGTTTCACAGTAACAAGCCAAAGATCAAAGGAGATGCAGAGGGGCGAACCAGGGGCCGAATAAGCCTCATGGCCAAAGAGACAGGGCAGGGCTAGGTTTGAGGGGGAGTGAATTAGCTGGTGCAGGGATAGAAATATAGACTCACTCACCTGTAAATCTCCTAAATTTTAGAGTGATCGGCTATGAAAGGTGCTTGGGAAAAAAGATAATGCCTGAAGTGTAATTATCCACCCCCTTGCTGTTGGAAGCACTATGGAACCTAGAGAACCCACTGGCAGGAGAGCACACAGACTGTGGGTAAACTGAAAGATGTCTGAAGGTGAAATATGGGACAATGAGGTTTGCCTAGTCACATGGCATTATTTACTTTTTGGGCTGGGCTTTTTGATAATGAACACTAAGACCCAAGCTTGGTTGTGGGGTGTGTTTTCCAGGACCACACAAACACCAAGGAGTCCATCCCCACTCCCCACCCCCACCGGCATGGACTGGAAAGGGTTACAGCTGTACTTCCCACCATGACGGACACTGGAGACAAGAGAGGCAGCTCCAATGCCTGGCAAGATAAGGAGGGAGTTCATGAAGCTCTAGGTATGGTGGGAAGCGATCAGGAAGAGTAGTGTAGTCCCCTCCTCGGCTTCCTTCTTCCGAAGAGACAGAAGAGAAGCTGAAAAGTAAACGTATAGCGAAACATCACCATGTACACCATCCATATGAGATGTCTTCAAAAATTCAGGGAAAATGTGCATCATGAAAAATCTATGCATGGATTTCAAAAATTTTGCACCAAAATAAACTTACCTTTTAATTCAATTTTCTGTGAACTTTTTTAAATACGTATATACAAAGTTTTTTTTAATTCCTTCACTGTAATTTAAATTTTTTAATTTAAATTAAAATTTAATTAATTTAATGTTTAATTTAAAAACCAAGGTAATTAAACATTATTTCACAAAAAAAAAAAAAAAAAAAAAACCACTCAAGGGCTAATGTTGTGGCATGGTAAGTTAACCTGCCACTTGCAATGCAGCCATGCCAAATCAGAATGACGGTTCAAGACCTGGCTGCTCCACTTAAGATTCAGTTCCCTGCTAATGCACCTGGGAAAGCAGCCAGGGATGGCCCAAATGCTTGGCCCCTGCCACCCACATGGGAAACTTAGATGGAGTTTTGGGCTCCTGGATTCAGCTTGGCCCAGTCTTTGCCATTGTAGCCATTTGGGGAATGAAACTGCAGATGGAAGATATCTTTCTCTATGTCTCTCCTCTCTGTCACTCTGCCTTTCAAATAAGTAAAATAAAACTTAAAAATTAAAAAAAAAAGAGTAGATGCCAGCCCTGCAGTGTAGCAAGTAAAGCTGTCACTAGCGGCACCAGCATCCCACATGGGCACTGGTTCAAATCCCAGCTGCTGCACCTCCCATCCATCTCTCTGCTATGGTCTGGGAAAGCAGTGGATGATGGTACAAGGGCTTGGGTCCCTGCACCCATGTGGGAGACCCAGAAGAAGCTCCAGTCTCCTGGCCTCGGATCGGCTTGGCTTTAGCCGTTGCAGCCATCTGGGGAGTGAACCCGTGTATGGAAGACCTCTCTCTCTGCCTCTGCCTGTCTGTAACTCTGTATTTCAAATAAATAAATAAATATTTGCAAAATAAAAAGAACAACTCAAGGATGTTCAAGCCAAAGGCATGTTGTGCAAGGGAAAATCAACTCAATGCAGGAGGACATACTTTCCTAGAAAAAGGAGCAACACGTGTACCTGCTGCAGGAGCTGAGAAGAGCAGTGGTGCCACTCCCTACCCTCAAGCAGAGGTCTCTGTGATGTCATGATGTGAACCCAGGGCATAGAACACCCTGCCCGGGACAGAAATATCCACGCACAGCAACCTGTGATGATGGCGAGAAAGCGTCTGACAAGAGCAAGTGAACGTGCGGAGGTGGCCGGTAGAAATGTGAGGTTGACAAAGGAGATAGATGCTGTTGTTAGACCCTCTGAGTGAGGATGCTAACACGTCGAGAGGCACACCCCAAAGACTCAGAGTCCAGACCAGCTGATGCAAAAGCAAGAGCATTTATTCGGTGTCTGCGCAGACGGGCCTCCTGAACTCAGGAGTCCAGAGAACGCCCCCAGCACAAAGCCACACGGTTTATATACCCGCAGCGACCAATCAAAAGCACTATAGAGTCCATGCACACAGCAGTCCAACCCGTGAGCTGATCATGTGAAGGGCATGTGTCCTCTATCCAGTCAGCTACGGGATCACACGGGAGGCTTGCACCTCGTCGCCATTTTGTTGTTTACTTCTTTAGCAGTTCCTTTCCCTGTCAGCGTCATCTAGTTCACCCTGAGGGGGACGAGGTCTCGCTCCCTTCTTTCCCCTGGAGGGAGAGCGGCATCCCGCTTCCCACACCGTTATTTGAGTATTAGGAGGCATACAAACTGGGTTAGGTCTTAGCACAGCCAGGCACAAGTGTTGCAGCTAGCTAAGCATAGGGTCCCTTATTTTTATAGCTGCACCTAATTTTAGCTTTGGAGGAAAAAGTTTAGGCCTATAATTTTTAAACTTTAATTTTATTTGGGGCAAAGGTGACTTCTTGTTTTTAATAGTGTTAGTTTAAGTCACTCTATCTTGGTTTGATTTTTAAGGTTCTTCACTGTCTCTACTTTTCACTAGCCTCCTCTGGAGGGCAGAGAAGAGAAAAGGAGAGAAAGACATGCCAAACAGCTTCGGCTCTCATCCCATCTGCTATGGCATAGACCCATGTGCCTGGAGTTCTGAAATGGATATGGAGTAGCAAAGTAATCCAGGATGTGGATTTGACTGGTTTGTTACACCTTAGACTCTTTCAAAGGTAGCAACTAAAAACGCACATCCTTGGATAGACAAGGCAGGAAGATACTTGGAATTTTTCCTACAGAGTAGAAACGACTTGAAAATGCAGTTTGGGTAATAGTACAAGTTTCATGTTCTCACATTTCTAAGTGATAATCAAATCTGTTAAACTAGCTTACACCATGAAGATGCAAAACACATGAATATTTGACAATGTTTACAAGCGTGCATTCGCAGGAAAGCATGGCACATGAATCAAGACCAGAAGCCTCAAAGAGATTCAAGAATGTGAGCCCAAGTGTCCCTGCAGGGGTGGGCCAGCATGGCCTGTGCACGTGTCAGCCCTCCGAGGAGAGGGGGGTGGCTTCCTGGAAGTGTCTCAGGTCCAGGAAGCTGAAGAGGTGGAGACATTACAGAATCCAACTACAGCCCCCAGGGCTGGCAGACTCCCGCCTGATGCCGCCATGGGCCCCCGGCTCTTCCGCTGCGTGGTGTTTTGCCTCCTGGGAGCAGGTGAGTCTCAGAACACAAGGGCAATACTTGCCCAGCTCCAGCTCAGGTGCCCTGCTAAAGCTGCCATCTCAGGTGTCCCATAGGCACTATCTCTAGCTCTGTTTCTATTTCCCTCGCAGGTCTCATGGAAGCCAAAGTGACACAGACTCCAAGACACATCACCACGGGGACCGGACAGAAGTTGACAGTGACTTGCTCTCAGGACATGAACCATGACTATATGTACTGGTACCGACAAGACCCAGGGTTGGGTCTAAAGCTGATCTACTATTCAATTAACGTGGACAGTGTTGAAAAAGGAGATGTCCATGCTGGGTACGTGGCCTCGAGAAAAAAGAAGGCAAATTTCCTCCTGACCCTGGAATCGACTAACATCAGCCAGACCTCCCTGTATCTCTGTGCTAGCAGTGATTACACAGCCCTACACAGCCAGCTGCTCTCTGCACAAAAAGAGCAGCCACTAAAGCCAGGAGACACCTCCCGCAGGAAGCCACATCCCAACCAAGAGGGAAATCTCACCTCCCCAGCAGAGCCCACAGACGCCCTCCTCACTCCCCCACTTCAGGCAAAGCAGCCCCTCTGCAGTGGACAACACCCACGGGCTAGTCCTGCTCTCCCATCTATACCAACGCATTTGCAACGTTCAGATGGGACAAGCTAGCTGTGTTAAACCTAGCACGGGGACTAACACCATGCGATCCTTTCTTCTCTTCCAATTGCATTGTGCTGCTCTCCAAACTAAACAGTCCATTTCCAATCCAATTGTTCTCAAACGACCTTGTTTCCACATCCCAGGTCCTATTCCTGGATGCTCTGTCACGCACCATGCCCTGAGTTGTTCCCTCGATCTGACATCTCCCTTCTTCCGCTTCTCAGAGATGCTATGCCATCCACCCAAATGCCCATCCCAACTAAGGGAGAAATTTCTTGTATGTTTTGCTGATTTTTCTACCCTTCTTGATAATTGTGCTCCAGCACACACTGTCTGTTGCCTGGATTCCTCAAGTCACCTTCTAAGAAGTCAATCTGCCTGCCAGCCTGCCACGTGCCCCAGACACAAACCACTCTCTGGGCCTGGGTGCCCTTCAAGGCCCCTCCTTTATAAGCTAAGGTCTCTAGTTCAGGCTGATTTACATCTTTCCACCTGCTCTGTTGTGTAGCTGTGTGAGACAATTCCTGCCCACCTTCCTTCTATGCAGAAATACCACACTCGCCTCAGTTCCCCAGACAAGACCTATGCTGACTGGGTTCTGAGTCTCCAGCTCTGATGTACACTCCATCAGGAATGCCCTTCCTTCCCCTGCATACCCACCTGGATACCTAACTAATGATTCCTCTGTAAACCACGTTAGAAGTAATGTCCCTCAACCAGCGCTGTGGCTCACTTGGCTAATCCTCCCCCCTGCGGCGCCAGCACCCCAGGTTCTAGTCCTGGTTGGGGCGCGGGTACTAGTCCCGGTTGCTCCTCTTCTAGTCCAGCTCTCTGCTGTGGCCCGGGAGGGCAGTGGAGGATGGCCCAAGTCCTTGGGCCCTGCACCTGCATGGGAGACCAGGAGGAAGCACTGGCTCCTGGCTTCGGATCGGCACAGCGCTGGCCATAGCAGCCATTAGGGGAGTGAACCAATGGAAGGAAGACCTTTCTCTCTGTCTCTCACTGTCTATAACTCTCTCTGTCTCTCTCTCTCTCACTGTCTAACTCTGCCTGACAAAAATAAAAATAAAAAAGAAGTAATGTCTCCCACAATTTCTGTGAATTGCTGGCTGGATTAGTCCCTGGGCTCTGTGCTTTTCTAACAGGCTGAACCGAGCTAACACAAACACCCAGAGTCCACCATGAACCCTCCTTCCACGGGCTCAGGGCTTCCCTGTTATGCAGCCTTTGTCTCCTTGGAATAGTGGGTTGCGGGCACAGGTAGGACGCCCTTGGACTTGGTTTTCCAGTCCCCTTGATAAGACCTTCCCTAGTGGCTGTACTTCAGTGTCCTTAAACTCTCTCTCTTTCTCCTCATTGTCCAGAGATGCTAATATCTCTGAAATCCCAGTTTATCAGGTTTCAGGGCCAGAAAAGAAGACGTCTTTGTAGTACAACCAGAAAATGGATCATGACCTACATGCATGGATCCAGACAAGCACCAGGACGTCCCTAGGAGGCCCGGCGTCTCCTGAGCTAAGACTAGCATTTCTCCCCACGCCAGACGGCCAGCCTCTCACACCCTGCCTGCTGTTAAGCCACAGCACAGCACAGCCACTTCCTCTCTGTACAGAGAGGCTCTCCACAGGCAGAGGGCTGTCTCTGTATTCCTGAGGCCTGCCTGTGGAGGAGGCGACAGAAGCATCTAGAAGAAGCCTTCTGTGTGTCTGCACTGGAGACAGTTGGCGGCCAGCCCTGGGTCGTGGGGGAGGGCAGTACCTGTGATGGAGCTGTCACCATCCTCTTTCCCACACTTGTCTTCTGCTGCCTCAGCCCTGGCCCTTGTGCGGACTGAGCTGATATCAAGGCAGCCTGGTACACGCCACCGTCTTCGTGCACTGAGGGCTACAGGGACAGGGCCCTCCAGAGCCCCACAGCACTCCCTTTTACTCACCTCTGTGTGTCAGGAGGTTGTCATCTCAGTCTAGTATCTTTCATTTTAGGATGTCAGATAACGTCATGCATTTATACAATGTAGATTTCACCAACAACAGAAGAGTGCAGGCTTCACACGCCTCATGAAAAATTTTGAAAAGAAAACCCATTCTAGCAGCAACACAAATTATTTATTGATTTACAGTCCTTGCATGGGAAAATAGTCCAGTGAAACTGAAGTTCAGAGAGCGGTTTTGTGTAGTAGCTGTATCAGTATTACTTGATTTATGCTAAGATTGAGTGTGCTGGATTAGATATTGACATTAACTGCTATGTCAGAACTAAGTAATGTAATCAACATCATGATGGCTGTTTTATGTTATCGTGGAAACTGAAAACTGTTATGTGACTGTAATTGATTTGTGTTGGATATAGTCAACTTTTCAAAAACGTGTAGACTACTAGGAAGCTTTAATTGATGTTGTAAGTTCAAAAACTACAAGTGAACTAGCTAGAAAATGTAAGTATCCTGGGGACATCTGTAACTGACCATTTTGTGCTGACCAGTCGTTCTCAACCTGCACCCAAGTAACCCTGGTGAGCTACTTTTAACTGTGGTAGAGCAGTTTCCAGAGACCTACCCTTTCAACAGGTTTCTAGGTGTACAATGCAGTATTGTACACTGCAGGCACACTGCTGTGCGGCACATCTCTGAGCCACCTTGTAAAACTGGAACCTGATACAGCTGACCGGCAACCCCACTTTCCGCCTCCTCTTTCTCAGTAGCCACCATTCAACTGTCAGCTTGTATGCGTTTGAACTTCCGCTAAGTCAAATAAACCACCACTTATCACAAAATGTGTTTGGAAATTCTGGTATATAATGATAACGAAAACAGAACCTTTGTAACAGAGTTTTATTATGTTTAAATTCCCTTCAGATGATGCACTCTTTATGGTTTGGACCTGGGGTTAACTACAGCCACAGCCCGTTGGTTCATACACTGCCTGTCATACACAGGTGAATCTGTGCATGTGGACATCTGAGCACCACTACCAATAATATAGTAGCATGGACAAGAAGGTGTTTTTTTTAAAAAAGAATTTATCTATTGCCCATTGGAAAAATCATTCTATAAGTACCCACTTCTGTAGAAGCAAACCCTCAACAATTACACAGGAATACCTAAAATTAAGTATGTGGGGTACATTAAATGTGCACATAGACACAACGATTACTGCTCTCTCCGTCTCCCACACACATGCACACACACAGGAACACCCCTTCCCTGCCTGCCAGCACACTTAGTCTCTGTAGACCAGTGATGTCTGATGTATCACGGGTGTGGGCAGAGACAGTGACGTCACAGTCAGCCAGCAGCCTTGGGCTGGAAGACAACCTGCTTCTTCCTCAACGTCACCATGGAGGTCAGACTCCTCTGCGCTGGAGCCCTTTGCCTCTTGGGAGCAGGTGGTCCGGGGAGCCGGTGCTCAGTCCTCTCCTGTCACGTCTAGGCCTTGGATACAAGCCATTTCCCTTCATTTGTCTCCTCTTCCTCTCCCTCGCAGGTCTCATGAAAGCAGAAGTAACCCAGACCCCACGCTATGTGATCAAGAGGAGGGGAGAGAAGGTTTTGCTGGAATGTTCACAGGACATGGATCATGAACAGATGTACTGGTATCGACAGGACCCGGGTCTGGGGCTACAGCTGATCTATTTCTCATATGACATTGATAATAAAGAGAAAGGAGAGGCCTCTGAGGGGTACGATGTCTCCAGAAAGAAGAAACCGAATTTCTCCCTGATCCTGGCATCTGCCAGCACCAACCACACGTCTACGTACCACTGTGCCAGCAGTTTAGCCACAGCACCGCACAGCTGCATCCCCTCTGCACAAAAAGAGCAGACACCAGAGGGAAGTTGCCCCAGCTCAGGGCTGATGCTGGCTCTTACGTCGCACTTGTGCCTATGGGGGAAAAGTGGTGCTAAGGAGTAAGAAACCCCATAGGCATGCATCTCAGCGGCAGGTCAAGAGATGCCCTCACTTCCTTGCAATCAGGGACCATCCTGAGCTGGCCCCTCTCAGCCAAATTCCTAAGACTGTCCCAACAAGAAGGAGAAACCCTCTCACCTGTTCACACGGAAGCCTTGCTGTGCCATTTTTATTAATGTTTCATTTCCTTTTCTGTCCTAGCCTTTTTTATGATACATTTTCTGCTCGACTCAACCTCTTTGCTCTCCGTGATAGGTCATAGAGAACACAAACACATTCTAAACCCTGGGTAAACCACTGTCCATGGGCTGATTCAAGAGAAACTTTATGTAGCTTGAATTCTGTTCATTCATTTCAAAAGGAAAAAAAAAATAGTAAAAATAAATCTTTCTCTAGTTCCTCTGGTTTCCATGCTGTGTTGGAAAAATTCTGGTCAGAGAAGGAATAAACTACTTCTACTTACAGAAATATCTGGGGGCTGGTGCTGTGGCGTAGCGGGTTAAAACCCTGTCCTGAAATGCCTGCGTCCCATATGGGTGCTGGTTCTAGTCCCAGTTGCTCCTCTTCTGATCCATCTCTCTCCTATGGCCGTGGAAAGCAGTGGAAGATGGCCCAAGTGCTTGGGCTCCTGCACCTGCGTGGGAGACCTGGAAGAGACTCCTGGCTCCTGGCTTCAGATCGGTGCAGCTCCAGCCATTGCGGCCATCTGGGGAGTGAACCAGTGGATGGAAGATCTCTCTATCTCTACCTCTCTCTGTAACTCTTTCTTACAAATAAATAAAATAAATCTTAAAAAAAAACAGAAATATCTGGAGCAGATGTCTGTTGATCTTTTTAAAAAATATAACATACTACTCAGCCAGTAAATATGAACCAAATTTTCTGCTTGGGGGATGCAAAAGAAATATAAAGGCTGGTAAAAATCCCAAACTGTAGAGAATTTCCAAACCTGTTATCAAGATGAAATAGGCACATGAAAATATATTCTGATTCAAGCTACATTTTTATATATAAGAAGCCAGAGGAAAAAAGTCAATAAATGTGTACTACAGTAGTCAAGATGAAGTTCATAGGAGAGATCATACTTGAGTTGACTTTGGATAAAAGTTGACAAGGAAAAGACTGTCGGAAGGAAGAACCAGCCTGACATGATTCCATGAGTGATTCCCATGGAATGAATGAAAGGGTAGACTCATCCCTGAGAAAAGGCAGGAATCACAGACTTCCCGGCTAAGGTCAATGCCAGAATGCAGAAAACACAGCTTCACAGAGTATTGTTAAGTATCAGATGGCATATCTGAAACTTCTACATTCAGCAGGTTCTCAGTGAGCCCACACTCTCTCATAAATTCTTTATTTCCCACAGCAAGCACTGACCAGACTCAAAGGATCATTGCAAGAGAAGGCGACATGTACCAGCATGATTTGTTCATTCCCAGTGCCACCTGCAACCGTTCCCATCATAGCTGGCACCACCTCAACCGAGTCTCTGG